TGTTTCATGCCATCTGAAGAGCATTCTGCCGCTTGACACGGGAACCGTTTAGACTTCTGTTCACCTCGCACGTGCACCTGATTTTGGAATGCTGCCTCCCTGCTGCCTACCCGCTTTCCAATTTGAGCGCGACATAATCGAATAGGTCCAACGGCTTGGATCGAAGTTTGTCGCCGAGTTAGGTGACCTGTCGTATCCCCTTCGGCTTCGACATTTGAATATGTTTTCTATGGCGTACCGTCGCCGGCGTGGGGTCTTGATTTTTACCTATCGTATCCTCAGCGGGGCACGAAGGAGAGAGTTGCAGGAACTCTTCCGCCACAACATTGGGAGTTCGACTATAGGCCACCGATTGAAATTTTTCATATCACGGCGGCTTAAAGTAAGTCCATGGTTGCTCTATCCACTCGCGTTATGAATAATTGGAAACGGTTACCGCAGTTCGTCGTTGATGCACAGACAGATGATTGCTTTAAACGACTACTTGATTCCCACATGTTGATTACGCTGAGATCGTGTTGCTTTAGCTGTGAGAGCCATTTCACCTTCGGAGTTTCTGTTGCGCAAGGACGAGCATTGGAGAAATGCCCGGGAAGTGATGGAGCTGACAAGAGATCCTCCTTCTGCTCTCTACTACCCAATGGACCAACAAACAGAACGTACGGTACACTTCAGGTTAGAAGACGGATAACAGCTGACGGCGAGTTACAGCGCACGAGGTCTGCTTCATGCCATAACATTCAGTTGAAAGTAATGCCAGTATAACATAACTTGATTAACAGTATTTTTAACCTTTGCATTCACAATCTGTTTTAACTGTGAGGTCGTACAGTTATCACAAACTTATATAAAGTTTTATACTTTCAATGGCAAGAACAAACTTGATCACGTCTGATCATTACAGAGCTGAATGTACCTATTTGCGCTTGCCTAGTTGGCGTTTCTCTCTCAACACCGAGGATATAAAATTTATTTATCTATTTAAATTTACTCCAGGTCGCACCAACTGGTCAGCCCTGGAAAGCGCATTAGAGACCAGACGTACGTGGGAAAGGTGTAAACGGTACAAAAGTTTAAGGGTCCTTACGTCTAATGGCCTGAGCGGGACAACCTGATAGCCAAAAGGCGTGCATCACATGAGCTAGGCAAACTAGGGCATAGGGCTAGTTCCGCAGTAACAAAGTAAGTTCTCGCGGCTGTTTTAGAAGGGAAAAGGCCTATACTTTTCCGATAGTTCGTCTAAGGTCAGCAGAATTGTCACCTCTGCTTTCCTTCCGCATGGTTACACGGAAACTGCGCGCAGCGTACAAGGCGAAAATAAACCTTCCTTCTCATCCACATACCTAGTTTGTCGTTTATTGATTTATATGCTTTTTGAAGCTTTAGATCCATTTACGCGCCGTGAGAAGTAGCGGAACATGCGCCCGTAATCCCTGCATTGTAAAAGCTGTTCTCCTAAAGAAACGTAAAGTGGGCAGCTAATGGAATAGCGCTGCATCTCTGTTACAGGTGAATGTAAATACATGTAGAAGCTGGGTTATAACCTTGGTATTGAATGAGCCGACAAGCGCTCGTAATGTGTCGCGTCCAAAGTGTCTATCAGGGAGTTGCGTGGATGGCTTGATGGAATGGTTGTAAGTACAACCTACGGTTACATTGGAAACTCTTCGGTAACGGCTGAAGGAAGAGTTGGAGTTAGACGTGCACTTCAACAAAATTACTTGCTGCCTAGGCGGCCGACACATAACGATGAAGAAAGTAAATGCAATGCCGGAATCCATAAATATGATGGATGGCAAAGCGCTAAGGATGGAATGCTTGATGAAGTTGCTAAACTTGGAGGCAGAAGCACGGTGAGCGGTATGAAAAGATGAAACAAAATTTTCGTTCTTCTACGCTCGCACAAGCGGACCATCAACACGTGAAACCTGTGCGCAATTTACGGTGTCAAACATTCAGAGACAAAAGCTGCACCTAAACAGCGTGATGAAAGAATGGATTGCTCTGATATTCTCTTCTGCGGCAGTTATAATAAATGAATATGTGCGCGGTGGTTGCAGCTACCGCTTGATTCCAATGACATCCATTCCTCGGAAAGCTGTCTCCTTATTTGTGATGACGTCAAGAGGAATGTGGCCATCAACTACACGAGCGCAGGAGAAAAGTAACGACAAACTCGGTCTGTTTACACAAACTGAGTTTTAGCCGCCAACTTACCAATGTCTCAGTGTATTGTACCAGGTAAGCCACGATCTGTTGGTTGCTATGCTAAATAATTTACGGGGGCTTTCATGCATGGAGCAGTCAAGCTTCATCAAAAGATCGATTTAGAAGGCAGCGTATGGTCAGACGCAAACAGGTTTCGAGAAACATGCTTTGAAATCCATGTAGACAGCTTCCGCCCTGTAAGGCCAACGTACGCGCTATTGACAGTACAGTTAAACAGGTAATTGATTATGGCAGCAACTAGAATGTCTGGCCTGTGCAAGATGGATTTAAACAGCGACTTGTTATCCTGGTAAACAGGCACTACTTCAGCGGCGTCCAAACACATACTCATAGATAAACGGTGATGGTAACGGAATCTCCTAGCATTTTGATTGCCTTTGTATGTGAGCCTAGTGAACCCATTTTGCTTAGAGAGGTCGGGCACCCGCCCATTTCCAGTACTGGCGTTCGCCTTTGAGTGCCGTGATGTGAACTTCTTCGGGTATCCGTTTTCATGTGATGCCGAGAAAACTTGCTGCACCTGCAGTACTCCCGACCCTAGAGCATGCGTCAAGAAAATGAACGGGCGATATGTGCTACCAGACGTACGTATTTAGTTTGGAAGGAACAACAACTGCAAGTCCAAAGCGCGTAGGCTTTTGTTTGGCTGAGTATGTGACTGGTGTTCGTTGGAAAGGAGGGGAAATCCTGGAGCTGCACGTTGGTTGGGTTGGTGGAGTTTTCTGCCACAGCGTTAGTTCAGCGTCCGCGTCAGGAGTCTGCTGCGGAGATTGGAATTCGACCTGTGTCGGTTTCAGGTGATCCATCCTGACAGTTAATCAAACCACTTCTGTCCAATACGAAATACGTCCTTTTGCGAGCCAAGAGTTTGAAAAGGCTTCGTAAGACGGCGGCAAATGCTTGCGAACCGCATCGATGAGTAAGAAAACCATGGATACGGGTGCAAGTCGGATTGAATGTGGCGGTTTGAAGAAAGGAATCGCGGTGGCTTTGGATGATCAACCCTACACTACTTTTCCATTCGCGCAACAAGTGACGCAGGGTCGAATACGCCAGTGAACCTCGAAACTATTAATTCTCCTCCAAGTGGTCACAGTGTCATACGGAAGAGTAATTCCGGGGGAAAACACCCGGCATCTTCCTTCAGTGTGTTACGAATGCCTATGAGAATGATCGGTAAACGCTCCGACCGCTAGATATCGGATTGTGTTACAGTGAGTGCGGATGGGTGTTGGCAACGAGAACGCTCGACTAAACCGTTAGTAGCTAGCCGCTACGCTGTTACGCGTAAATGCTAAACCAGGCATGCGGATGAGGTAGTGAAACAGTGTCGAACTCACTGAATTCATTTGGACTTCTGAGATATAACTTCTTGGTTCGGCTGACTTAACAGTTCTGTTTACATTACGTGGAGAGGCTCGTGGGCTTTTCCACTCTTTATCAACAAACCCTTTCTACCCCGACCCTAACCTTTTCTTCTCTCGCTTTCTGTTTTCATTACTTCTTTCCATCAGACGGCCAACTTTATTGCCTTACCGTGATCTAGCCTCACTTGACCTGTCAGTTTCTCTCGAACTACTGTTTTGGAGCTGAAACTTTAGTGGTGCGGGCTTTACAGATTCGGCTATACGTTTTCCTACCTCTAGGGTCTGCTAGATTTGTTCACTCTATACGGCTCTAGCCTTTTTCTTCCCTTCATTTTACATCCCATTCTCAACGTGCTGACCACTTCGGTAAGCTTAATCGGTCCCCTACTTTCCGAATTCACTTAGAAGTATGAAAAATCACCTTTCCTGTTTTGGCAGTCCTAATGGACCGTTTACTTCCTCGAAAGCCATGTTGACTTCTCCACTCTTTTCATAAAAGCCTTCCTCAACCATACTCTGTCTTTTCCTTAACTCGGTCTCTGCTTGCTATTCAACTGGATGGCCATCTCTGTGCTTTACCCTAATCTATTCTTTACTGACCGTATTTGTGCTTTATGTCTGCATCCATATTACGGAGACGTAGATGATCTAAGTGTTGCATACCCAAAGCATTGCATCCCCCGAGAACTCTGCTGACGTTGCTCATGCATTATGGTCACATCTTATTTCATTCCTAACCTTGATCCACACCATTCGTCTTTCCTAACTAATTAAACGACTCAGTCTCAACCCACTAACTAATTCACACCCTTCGGATCGGCCTCCCGCTCTCCGATATCGCGCAGTTCTCTGAGGCGTTGTTGTTCGCGGTATGGCTAATCTAAATTTTTATGGAACAAACGGACATGAGATATTATATTTATAAGGATACATATAATGTGAGGTTCATTAGGGAAAGCACTTTTGCGACTGATCTTTTACTCTGAGTTCCGGTTGCATCGTTGTTGTCTGGTGGTGTGGCTGCCTTTGTTTGTTATAAATATATAAATAAATAGGTATATTTCTAGACCTGCTAGAGGCTGCACCCTAAAGGGTTCAGATCAATGCTTATATAAATCCGATGCTCTTGCATGGAAGTAGGTAAAATATAAGTATGTGTTCATGGTTAGCAATTACAAATGCATTGGCATTGTTTGATATACAGCTACTGGGTCGCAGGCGCCCACCTTGACATTTTCTGGTTCCGTCGAGCGATATTGAGTTCCTTGTTCTTTTATTGTGAAAACTTCGCGGAGGTGTAGTTGTGCCTTTTCTCCTTGGAAATGCATCCAATTCGCCGAAAGTTCACTTTAAATTGATCACAAATTAATTGGCCACTCCGTTGCCCCAATTGTTTTTGCGCACCATGCACTACTATACACGGCAGAGAACCGGTGGCCAGCACACGAGGATACGTCCACTGCCTGGACCCCAACACTTCAACGGAGCACAGTGTTCGCTTCTCTGGAAATTGATGAATACTTATAACGCTGCCTTGTTATTTACCGGATGGACGAAACATTTATCCGTTATCTTGGATGGATGCCACTATATTGAAGCCTGAACAACTAGGTTCAGCCCGTCTCTTCTTCACATAACCCTTACTCGGAGTTGGCTTGCTGACATTTAACGTCAACTCGGACATTTCACCCAACCGGAGGGCAGATTTTCTGCCTGTGCTATGCATCCAATTTGGAAATATCCTAACACAATACTTTCACATACAATACATTTACTGTGGCAAGAGCAAATGTGTTCGGCCCCTTACACTACTGAAAATCTTTTCACGTACCACATCTGGAGCGGCCCACACAACTTTTACCGTGCATATGGTTGTGGATGGCAGTGTCCCCAATCAACAGAACTTAACCTGTGAGGATTTCCGGTTCGTTATTCAGGACAACTCGCAGCTTTTCCGGGCCTGAGCAATTGCGTTTGGCCATTCTCCTTGCTCTAATAATCGGTTCAACCTCATATTACTAGATCTCCTCGGAGACATTACGCGGTTCTACGGTTGACAAAAACAAAACATGACAGCATGTTCGATTTATAGTTTACCTACCTTACTGGTCGTGCCATTCCGTCAGGAAGTGACAGGACCCAGGGATGGTACATTCCCGCCCCATCATTCGTCAGCCAGCAAGTGTGTCCAACCAAACGTCTTCCTCGTCGTTCGGACCCAACCAGGGAGCCGAGGCCAGCTCAGGCGTGAAAGTCTTCATTCCTCTGGACCAAGTCATTGCTTGGCCACCCCTCCTCTTCTTCCACCCACATCCCCGGCGCGGAAACAACGCATGTCTCGGGAGTCGGTGGGCTGGTATGCATAACAAGTGGCTGAGCCGTCGGAGCCTGGTGCTTGAAATAACGGTGCTGAGCGGTTCAGTTCCTTTTCCTGTGCCATAAACAAGGCGTTGAATATGCTCGTTGCTCACGCGGTGTGTACACCAGATGTGAGCTAAATTACGAGGGCACCGGTGGTAGAACGTAACTAGTCTTCTCATGTCCGCTGCTTTAAGCGGCCAGGTTTCACAATTATACAGTGGGTTCAAACGTACTGCTGCATGGTACACTTGACCCTTCAGGGCAAGAGTGCTGTCGCGCCGGCGCCATAAGTGGCGAAGGTTAGCAAAAGCGCTCCGGGCTTTTGCTATACGGTTTGTGATTTTACCTTCAATTCCACGGGCGCTGCTACAACTTCCCAGGTAACTAACCTTTTGAACGACCTGTGGCTGATCCTTACCAACGGTCAGCGTAGGAGGCGGTCCAGACCAATCTTGGAGGAAAGCTTTGCACTTCCAGGGTGCTAAGCTAAGCCCAAAGTGGCGGACAGCTAGTGCTCTTCTGTCCAGTGCCATTTAGCACGTCTGGGAGCTTTCACAGATTAGGGCAATATTATCAGCACAATCTAAGTTAAGAAGTCGTTCTCCTGAGGGTAGCTCTACACCTTCTAACTCGTGTCCTGTGAACGCGATTTCCATGACTTCGTCATAAAAGGTCTGTACGGTTGTACATACCTGATCATCCCTCAGTGAGCGTGACTTGCCTAGTGGAGAATAAAATATTTTTTATTTATTTAATTAATTATGATTCTAGTCGACTTGCCAGTATATAGTTGTAGGAAGTGCTTTTTTCAGTGGCGAGTCATATCCGCCACGTCGCAGTATTATTAAACGGACATTTGTGACTTTTTATAGGGAGAAAACTTGCCAGACGAAAACCCATTACTTTCTGGAACGCTGTCAGAAAGCCGTTTGTACACTAAAGTAACACTGGCAGCGTAGCTTGCCCACTGATTTCACACTCGGTTCTCCGTAGTCAAATGCATTCCAATTTCCTCTGTTAGTTGATCAGCTGTCTTGGTCAGGGCCGTCATAATGGCTGAGGCGAATCGAGGATGGGAGCTCCACGAAGAGCCGTCTTTGTGAGTGTCCGGGTGAGCCAAACGTCCGTTTCTTGCGTCTGGATTTTTCAGGCTTAAGAATACTTTTCAGGAATGTGAAGACCTCGTGTCCAACCACTATAACTGGACTACTGTCTTGGTAGTGAGTGCAGCTGTATCCATTTGTTGTACTGCCATGTTCTTTGTAGAGCGTTGTGGGTTACTATATCCTGTCCCGGGCAAAACTGTTTCCCGGTCCAATCCTAGATCCCCAAGGAGATCCGGACTTGGGAGGAACGGAAAAGTGAGAGATAACCAAGGCCGCAAAGAACAGGCGTGAAACCAAGCATTGCAAAACTCCTATGTTATGCCATTTAGATCGGAAACAAATGATGTTTAATTTGCAACAATGATTGTGATGAAAGTGGCTTTTAACTGTTCTACGAAAGCAATGGCCGTAAAAGTTAGTTGGTACCATCTACATGGAGTACAGAGCGTTGCGCCGTTAAGCAAAAAAGCAGCATGGGTTTGCTATGATAGCATTATTGCGTGGGAACACAGAAAGCAGAATTCAAAGACCAGCCGAGTTTGAATGGTGTATGAACAGCTGGTAGCCAGCCTACCTTGATAGTGGGCGCCGAAAAAGTAAGTGAAGGTACAAGTGGCTTGCGACGAAAGAGATCCAAAGGTCTATTGGTGGTAAATCAGCAGATAGATGGGACTCAAACGCTGAATGAAAGTCTTCGGGGGAGCATGGCCGAAAGACGACCCAAGAGGGGACTAAGAATCTAGTACTATGGCCGACTGAGATGGGAAATGCCTGAGAGAGTTACCTCCTACATAAGTAAGTGTCGAAACCTTTGCTGCACAAACGGACACAGAACACTAGGTGAAAAAGGATTGATCGATAGAAGTGAAGTATTAAACATCAGTTATAGGAAAGCGAACGTGCGGAACAAATGTGTACGTAGGGTGGTGCAGAGAAACGAGTTATTCTAGAGTGCTAAGAAAGTGGTGTTATGGTATGCTGACCAAGGAAAAGCCAGTGAGTCTGTTGGACTCGTACATGAGTAAGTGTCGCAAACACAGCAACGAGTAAGTGTGAAATGAACATCTAGAAATAAGAAGCTAACGGGCGTCTGTGTGCTGACCAGATGACAGGACTGATGAACTAAAAAGCTAAGAATGGTTAATTGACGGAAGTGCAGCTACCACCCGGAATGCAAACGTACATTAAGGTTGTTGAGGATATCAGAGCAGGAGGCCTAACCGCAGCAGCTAGGGTGCTAAGATAATAGTGTCAAGCTGGACAGACCATGGAATGCTATCCCGAGAGCTGAAGGAGTGCAAGTAAAAGGCTAAGACAATACAGCGAGTAAGGGATAAATGAACATCTAGAAATGTGGGGCAAAGCAGCGGCTTGCGCTGAATACAGTGATATGCTTGCACGACAGAAGAAAGCTAAGACAGGATTCGTGATGGAAGCACAGCGAACGGGAGAAGCGCAGGCATACAATGAGGTGGTTAAATAATTCAGAGCAAAAGAGGCTAAGACGCATCAACGCGCAGGTAATCAACTTATGCTGTAGTGCTAAAGGAATAAAACTAGGGAAGCCTGAGCAGGGAGAAGCCAGTGAGAGAGCTGAACTACAAGTAATTAGCTGTAACTGTCGAGTAAGTGACAGTTGATCATCAAGCAAGGAGCGTGTAATGAATAAATGAACGTCTAAAAACAGAGGCTAAGGAACAGCTTTGTACAGACCACATGGGTTATGTTTGCTCTGCAGAAGAGAGTTAAGCTAGGTTTCATGGTGGAAGGACGGCGAACGGGAGGAGCGTGGACATACAATAAGGTTCCTAAATAGTTCAGAGCATAAGAGGCCAGGACACGTCGACTGGCAGATAATCAAATTATGTTGGGGTTAATGAAATAAAACTAAGGAATCTTGAGCCGGGAGAGGCCAGTGAGCGGGCGGAACAATAATTAATTAGGTGTCGCCGACGAGTAAATGACAGCCGAGTGCCTAGCAAGAAGCAACTGTGCGCTGACAGGATGAGATAAGGAAGGTCGCCAAAAGAAAGCTAAAAAAGATTGAATGAAGTAAAGACAGCAGACAGGAAGAATAAAAGCCAACATTAAGGTTACTGTAGGAGTCACACAAAATAAGGCTGAAGCACGGTGGTGCGTGGGTAAACGATACATTCAATGATGCTGGGATACTACTACTTTGGATATAGCCAGGGAAAGCTAGTCCGAGAGCTGGACGCTGGCAGGTGAAAAAGTCGACGATTTTACAACAATTAAGAGATATGAGCACGTATAGAATAAAGAAGCTAAGGAGCGACTGTGCGCTGACTTGCTGTTAGGAAGGAGTGTTAGGAGAAAGCTAAGACGTTTATATGCAAGAAGGACATCAAACAGGCAACATGCATGCATACATGAAGTTTACTGGGGACGTCGCAGCATATGAGTCAGAGGCGCGCGGACACTGCGCCCTGTTAGGGTGCTAAGACCTCAGTGCTAAGGTAGACTGAGCCGGAAAATGCCAGTGAGAGATCTGGACTCCTACATAAGCAGGTAGCGCAGACGTTGCAGGGAGCAACTGATAATGGAACGTTTAGAAATGAGAGGCTAAGGATCAATTGTGCGCAGATCACATGCGTTATGTTTGCTCCGCAGAAGAGAGCTGCAAAAAGTTTCATGAAGGAAGAACAGCGAATGGCTGGAGCGCAATCATACAACACGGCTGTTAGATGGTTCAGAGCATAATAAGACACAGCAACGCGCAGAAAATCAAACCACTCTGGGGTGCCAATTGATTATAACTAAGGAGGCCTGAGCCTGGAGAAGTCAGTGAAAGAGCTGAATTACAATTAACTAGGTATCACAGATGAGTAGGTGACAGATGAGCACTTGGCGAAAATCGAGTAATGGATAATTGTACGTCTAGAAAGGGGAGGTTAGGAGCTGATTCAAACAGACTACACGAGTTATGTTTGCTGCACAA